GCTTCTAACACCCGTGCAGGGAGGTTCAGAGACAATGCCAGAGTCACATTTTCCACGTGTTCTCTTGGGTGTCTCTTCTGTTCTGGGAAGCACACATGCAAGTGGGTCAATTTTGTCCTTTAAATAATCTTGAGAAAGAGTAATTTTGCCTCAAAAATTCTTTCACTAGCATTTTGGCCCTAAATAACCCCACCTACATCACAATGATAATCATCTGTGAGACCACTGATGTGAAAGAAAAAGGACTTTTAAAGAAGTTAAAATGAAGTTATAGCCTTAGCCAAGGTTTTTAAATTTAAAAAGGAAGATTATACTAGAGAACACATAATTTTAAATATTGAAATTTCATATTGATTATGCCAGAACAGAACATAAAAATGATTGCTTTCTACAACTTTCTTCATGTGTGATGTGTCGTTAACGCTGGAAACTATCCTTTGAGTTTGGGTTTAGGCAACTGAGTGACTTCTTGGGTTGCAGGAAACTTCACTTTGGGCCTGACGGACCCTGGGAAGGTTCTCTTCTATCACCTTTAAAGCCTGGCTTTCTGCTCTTGCAGCCATCTTCACTCTCTGCTCACCTCCAGGCTGCCATCCACATGCTGGAACCCTAATTTCTGCCTCCAGTACCCTCTTGCCCCGAAACAAGATGCTGCTCTTCAGGAAAAGGGTAATTCTTCCTCTTTTCAGGAGAGTCCTAGCGCTCAACTCACATTATATAAAGAAATATTGCATAAAGTCAGGAATGAAGAAATTGTGCATGCATTTACATTGCCAAGGAAAAGGTAAAGATGTCAGAGATTTGCGCATTACTGCTGCAATGGTGATGTCAAAAAAAAAAAAAAGCAATGGTTTGATGCAAATTGGACAGTGAGCACATCATAGGCTAACGTTAAAATTTATCATGTATGCCTGAGAGATTGCACATTTGGTTTGCTTTTCAGGAGAACAGCACTGAACTTAAACTGCTCTTATATTTCACTTGAACAGCTGAAGGTAAAAATAAAAACTAATCTAACTTTTCATAATAGATGCTGTAAACAAGGCTATAAAAGTCAGAAAAGAGTTACTCTGGAATTGAAATATTAATAATAGGAAATACTATTCTTAAACAAAAGAATTTTCTTTCGGTGCCCAAGACTCCCGGATGAAATAACTGTGAGAGACAAAGAAGGTGTAATCATGATACTTGCTACTAGACCTCAGGAGTCCTCAGTGTAAATGATGGAAAGACCAGGCTGAAAGAATCTTCTGAGAACCTGGAGGATTCTTAGATTTCTAGAGAAACTGCAGAAAAATTCACAGTTTCCAGACGAGAACTGAAAACTGTTATAAATGGAAAAGTAAATCCTTCACAGCAGTAGCAAATTTTCTTATTCATGCTAACGGAGTAAACTAAAATTCTTCTTATTCATGATTTTTTTGCTTTGCTCTCTAAATACACTCTTCCTGTTCCTCACCAGTTCTTAAGCTGCCTCACCATCATGACGACTTACTTTGTGCTGCGAGCAAATCAGAACTGGTGTGGTAAGAAAAAAAGAATGTTATTTTTTCTGGTTCATTTAGTTGTCCAAGTTGAGATTGTTTTTCAAATAATTTGACTTTGATAAATGGATACTGTGGACTCAGAACTATAAAGTGGTTTAGTAAAGAGAGAAAAAAAGAGTCTTGTCCTTTCTGAAGGAAGAGGTTAGAGCTTGTGTTCCTATTCTGCCAGTGCTTTGATGAAAAGGGGAGCAAACCAGAGCTGGAAACTCCTCATATCCTCTTAACAAGGGTTCCCTTGAATGGCTTATGACACCAAAATCACTGGATACTTTTACTGAAATAAATCATAGATAATTGTAAAGCAGTTTTCACCAATTCTCACACTATTAAAACAGCAATAACATAACCTTGCAGTAAATATCGACAGCAGCAGTATGTAAAATTTCAGTAGTTTAGATCAGGTGCTTCACCAAAATGAAGAATCTAACCTCGAACGGTTATTTATTAAGCCATCAAATTATTCAAGGCAAAGCTAAAAATACCTGAAGACAATTGCAATTTTTTATTTGTTTAACAGCTTAAATACTAAATAGAGCCTGTTGTGGTCTAAATTCATTGTGAGCCTTTACCAGAAGTTTTACTTTCATTCTTTCTCTTAATGATTTGAGATAAGGAGACAAAGATGGAAAGGAAGAAAGATTATTCTTACTGTATTCAGCTGCCTTAGAGGCAGATGAAGCCCATAGATGTGGCAAAACTGGCAGAGCTTTTGCTTATACCCTGCATGTTCCACAGACAGAGTTACTGCTGCACACTCCTCAAAACTTGGCACTTACATGACGATTAAAAAGAGACTCAGGTGAGGGCTGAGGACAGTGGATTCCCATCAATACTGAACATTTTAGGGAAGAAAAAAACCCAAGTAAAACACCTAAAGATTGCTACCAGAGTGATAAAAATCACAAAGTATGAATGAAAGAAGTTAAGCGACAAAAGTAATACAAATAATGCTTAAAAACATTTATGCAGACCTATGCAGAAGAACCTGTAAACAGATGCGCAGTAAGGAATTTAAATAAAATTTCTTTAGCACGGCTACGAAGAAATGCTGATTTCTCAGAAGGCAACACATAATGATTATTTAAAGTCCCTGTGCATTTGCTCATGTCTGGAAAGAACTGAATTTACTCCGTTCATGAATTACATCTGCATTTGTTAACTCTGGAACTTTGATTTAAAAATACTACACCAAAAGCACATGAGAAAAAAATCCAGATCAAACTAAAAGGAACTTCATGTAAATCAAACTGGTGTCTGTCAACTCTTCATCCCAGTGACCTACTGGCTAAGCCAAAGCTCTGGTTCTGAAGAGGCAGACAGTTATTTCACCACATGTTTTTAGCTAAAAAAGGAGTAACGCTCCCTTCAAAGAGTAAAATTAAATGTATTTTGTTATATATTTAACATGAGCATCCTATAGAACTGGAAGCCTACACATGCAAACACCAGTTAGACAAGAATCAGTCTATGCTTCTACAAATACACGGGATTAGCGTCATGCCGATTAGCCAGCTATCGTAACACCTACCTCAGTGATCAATATTCAAAAGTCATCAAATCTTGGTTTTAGGATTAGCGGGGCTTTGTTGTGCATTGTGCATGTTGTCATCAAAGTAAAGATTGGATCTGTACCCCAAGGTGTTCATAATCTATCAGCCGAATCTAACAGCTTCTAATACTATTTACACTGAACAGCTCTGCCATGCGTAAGATGTCCAAATTTTGCAGGTAACATATTGTAAATGAGCAGAAATCAAACCAGCAAACAGGGTAATAATGGAGAAAGTGAGCCAACATCAGAGTGGGGAAGAAACACAATCTGTGTTAAAGCTTTTTTCTAATTATACAGTTCACCTCACTTCTACTTTGTCTTAAGTGAAAATAAGACACGGTGCACAAATAAAAAATGAACGTGGAAGGGCAAAGGGAAACAACTTTACACAAGCAGATGAGCAGAAAAAGAGGATTGCCTCAGGTGTAAAGGCAGAGAACAGAAAAAAAGAATGGCCTAAGGACCTAAAAAAGAACAAAGAGAGAGGAACTGTAAAAAGTAGAAAATTGGAAAAGCTAATATTTAAGCAAAGGCCCTTACAAGTGCGGCTCTGGGGTTGTGACCTTTGGTTTTATTTTACTCTGACTTTTACATTACAGGGTGAATTGATTAAACTAGTGAAATTACTGGTGCTAGACAGCCAATGTGAGGAGGGCAGGATCAGGCCATGAGCTCTGAAAGAAGTCTGAGGCAGGGAATGAAAGCAGATAGCTGGACTTCTTTAGCCTAACAGATAGCTTGCCTAAAGCTGGAGAACAAGGGAGACAATGAAAAGAAGAAAAGACAGAAGACCAAGATGACAATCTTAGCACTGAACACACAAACTGCATTCAGTGGTGATGCAAGCCAAGGCTTGTTAACGTCCTGCTTTATCCTTGGACTTGATTCATTATTAAACCTTTATTTACTTCTGATTTTATCCCATCAACCTTGTAGTAATTTATTTACTACGCAATCCATGAGACAATTAAGATTTTTTGGGCTCTGAATTCCTAATACTACTGTCTATTATTTTCTGTCTTATTACCTTGCCAACAAGCACCAACCGTGAGCTGCATGGCAATGTGCGAGGGGTGGATAGGCCAATCGTTGGTCACCAGGTAAGGTTCATAGGTTGTTCCGTCCATGTATAACGTAACAACGGGAAACTCAACATTGACAACATAGTAATGCCACTCTTTGTCGCAAATCTGAAAGACAGAATGCAAGAGAAAGATATTATTTAGCACTTATTGTCAGATGGCTAATTTCCATCTATTGTACGTTTCTTTAAATGGTATTGTTTCCAAATTCCATTCATAGAAAAAAAATAACATAATTGCAAATTACGAATCAGTAAACATAGTAATGCCACTCTTTGTCGCAAATCTGAAAGACAGAATGCAAGAGAAAGATATTATTTAGCACTTATTGTCAGATGGCTAATTTCCATCTATTGTACGTTTCTTTAAATGGTATTGTTTCCAAATTCCATTCATAGAAAAAAAAATAACATAATTGCAAATTACGCATCAGTAAAATTAATGGAAATTAAAACAATGTTGATAAATACTTGTGGTATACCTGCAGAATATTTGATAAACAGAGGTATCTTAAAACACAATCTTTGACAACACGACATGTATAAAACAGAAAAGTCAGTTTGCTCTGTATTTTCACATTTCTTAATACGTAATACTAGTTTCTTAATGCCTATGTCGGCTTCTGAGAATACAAAACTGTACGTTAAGAGCTGTGTACTTGGAATATATCAGCATAGTTACTGGGGATCCCTATTGGCTTCAAATTAAGAAAATATATTGCACTTCAGCACTAGATTGATGAGTTATTATCAGCAATTTAATTCAATTGTCATTATTAACTTATTGCATCAGTACTTATAAAGTCCTGCGTGGTGCTTCAGGACCTGCCCAGAGCTAGAAGCACCCTCTGTTGTGCTCTGCATCCACACAGATGGACCAGTAGTCTGTGTGGCTACCTGGTCCACGCAGGAAACTCACTCCATGCTTCATCTTTTGGCCTTGAGCATTTTCCCAGAGAGTTGGCAAAATGAGGATCTCTATGGTTGCGCTGACGTGTACCAGCTTTGGAAAGCAGCGGCCATAGTTACAACATACTGTCAAGATGACAATGTTAGTGTCCAATCTCACGTGACTTTCTGAGCTGGACAACCTGGGATTACTGTAAAATGGTCAAATTTGGGTTTAAGTTCAGAAGTGTATGGGTAGCTGAATCAGTGCCTCTGATGACAGAAGTCTAGTGTGTAAATAGCGACGTCTGCCCAATTCTTATTTTTTTTGTTGCTGCAACTTTCAGATTGAAAAGCTCAAAGGATGAAACCACAGCAAACTGGCATGATGGGTGGGCAGTTTTAAAAAATGAAGCAGTAGTTGCAATCGTGCTACTTCCAATTCTGTAGAGATGCTTAATTTGATGCATTAAGAAATGGAAGTGCCGGATGCAGCTATCCTTGCCGTTTCATAGAGGCAAACAGAAAAGCAATGTTTAAACATAAGACTTTGTCCTTGGCCAGGTTAAGTGCTATCTGCTGCAATATCTGCCCTTTGAAAGCAAAAGCTAATGTTTTGTTCCAGAAGACATTTCAACAAGAACTTAATCACTTCTATTTCATGTACTCTAACGGATACATTTATTACTGCAGACATCATAGCTCCACGGCAAGAGATAAATGCAGCAAGGGGCTGCTAGAGCCTTCTTTTCGTAAGCAGTAGACAGCACAAATGTTTTCTGAAGGTTAAATGAACTGAAACCAAAATTGAAAGTAAATAAATTGGATGACTGAAAACTTTATTGAACAAACAGCAGTCACAAACAGTATTATGCAGACCTCCCTTCCAAGGAAAAACAGCTCACCTCGTTTCCTGCCCTGATCTTTAGAGTGTGATGCATGACAGCCATATGTCAGGCGTTTTCTAAAGAACAACATGCATGATGTACCTGAGTTTGAGAGACCTTGCATGACAAAAACTACAGGCGTTAGTATTTGACAATTTTCAGAGAACTGTTCCAGAGTATTTCTGTTTTCCAACTCTAAACTGTGTCACTTGGGATACCCCAAGTGCTATTAAACAATTGACAAATCCTCCTCATATTTAATAGAAGCAAAAGCACTTCATTACAGCAAACCCAAGCCTTTTGGCACATCGTACACACAAAGAGCAGGATAATGTGCACCTAGTCTGGTTACTCTATGGCCTGACCAATGGGGCAGTTACATTTTTTTAAAGAAAATGCTTTCTGGAAACACAAGCTCCGCAATTCAAGACTGCAGCACAACTGGGCTCTAGAGCTTCCAAGAAGAACGCCAATGTCCCGCTGGAGATGTCTACACTAGACAAATTACTTACTAACCTTTATTTCTTCTGATACGTAAGATAGTGCAAGTGTAGACATCTGAGTGAAGTCCTGAAATCATCACTTGCATGCTTTTCTTTAAATTTCAACACATAAACAGAGAAGATTTTATTTTGAGGGGAATTCAGGCACTTAGTCTCACGTCGGTGCTTCTTGAGGTCACAAAACCACCAAAGTTGGTCAGTTACACTTACTGGTCATATGATTTCAATGCAGCTTAGCTACACAGATACATGTATATTCCACGAAAAAATCTTTTAAGTGTCTGTACAGGGTCCCAGTGTAACATACATTCTACAAGGAAGCAATAACATTATTTAAAAATGCTGGAATACATCCCAGTCACTCAGCACCAGGTAGCATTTAGTGCCTGGCCATCTAGCTGGCAACAAAATAATGAAATAAATAGTTCTGGAGTGTAATTTGTTATGCTCTCATTTTACACACCTTCTTCATCTTCTTAACATAGGGAGCCATTTTTTTCCCTGCATGAGTTCCAGAGTAGCAATGGAATGAAGCCGTGAAAATAAAATTATACCATATATTAGTTTGGCAAACAAAGAAATCTTCACCATCTCAAGTATGAACCTTCTTTTACAAAAAATCTAATTAATAAAGTTATCCTAATGACATAAAAACACAGATGAGTAAGCTTGGCTTTCAAGGATTGCTGGATGGCTAGGTTGGGCTAATCCCTCTGTCATGTCAGTCTGCCTCTAAAATGTATTAATCAAATCACAGTTAATTAACCATCTTTTGATTACAGGCCATTGCACTGGAATACGCTTTCATGAAATAGATGAAAACAGACTCAATATAAATCTTATGTTTCCCAAGCCTTAAAAAAGTCCTTAGCACCCTTCCACTGAAGAATGTCGAAGACTATTCTGGTTTATGTTCCAATGCTTTGGAACAGATTGAAACCAAAGTGCTTCAGTCAGAGAAGCACACGGTGCTTAGAGTTGGTCGGCAAAATGTCTCTCTCTACGGCCTCAGACACAAAGGAGGTTCTACGGACATGATTTCTACGTGAACAGTCCACCGTGTTTAGAACAAACTGCCAGTCTTTTGTCATTGACGCTGGCATCATGGATGCTTATGACTCAGATCCTTTTTAAAGGATGACAAATGTTTAGGGCTTTATTTTAAGCGTGCGTTCCTTTCACATGACAATTAGAAGATGTTCTGTATTTACACCGGCTTTGATGAGAAGTCTAGAGCGTCCAGAGGATAAAAATCTACATAACGCAAATGCAAGTCCTCTTTCAAATTAGCTCTGTGCTTTTGGAAAAGCTCTACCTTGGTGGAGGCAGAACAAATTCTGGCCAAGCAAGGCCTCATTAAAAATTTGCTGTGCCCTACTCCACAGATATTGTCGCTTTCTTTGGTCTGCTCTTGCTTAGCTAGTGCCAGCTTCACACTACTCCTGTTAATTACTGACTGCTCATGTGAACTGGGAGGCTCACAAGAAAAACAGAACTGCTTTGCACAACAGAGTTTTAAAATTCTCTTTTAGAAACAAAACACCCCAAATCCTCTGTGGGGGAAAAAATAAATCCAAAATTATTGGTTTTCAGTAGTCAAGGTATCTCATTGTAAACATACTTCAGACATAAAAGAGAAAATAAAATAAAGCCAAACAAAGAAGGTGAAGGTACAGACTGTAACAATTTAATTGGAAAATGCTAGAATTGTTTCACCTAACTGAAGTGCTCTTTCCAATCTTTTCTTTCACTGTGAATTGGCTAGTATCAGCAGAGCAGTAAACACTTGGAGTTAAGCCAAACTATCTTTTCTGAAAGAATTTTCCATTTCAAGTATTTGCAAGTAGCAACAGAGGAATTTATCCTCTAGGTAACTCCCTCATTCTCAGATCTCTCTGACAGACAGCTCTCCCACCCGTCTTTCAGATGTTTTTCCCAGTACCTCCATTACTCTTTCCTCCTGCTATGAGTTTTTCACATTTTATCTTTTTACCTAGAGCATTTAATCTATTATAGCACTTAAATAGTAACTGATATCAAAACAATAAATTCAATACTGTTGGAGGTTTTTTTAAAAAAATTCTGGTCCTTTCCCCCCTTGCTGTTTTTCTTTTGTTACACATTGCTATGGTCAGCTCACTGGGTCACATTCTTTCACTAACTCGTATGCAAATTAGGCTTAATTCCAGTCTTATTAACTGATTCAAATTTAAATAGCTGCACATGAGAAGAAGTTATCTAGTATCTTCTGTGAAAATAAATCCTAAAACTAGGTGGGAATGTTGGCTGTGTGGTGGTGGTGCTCAAGGGTCATTGCAAACAGTTGGGCTAGTGAGGCCAGTCTGACCAAAGCTTTCATTTCTGTCACCTCCTGGAGGTGGTTCAAACCTGCAAACACAGAGCTTCACTTTTGAAAGTGAGTAAAAGATATATAGAGAAATTGCAAAGGTGCTCAGATCTCCTCCTCTCTTTTCCTTTTCATGGAAAAATTCTAAGTGTGATTTCCTTTAAACATTAACATTGATTGAATTGAGTCAATTCTGCAACTGAATTCTTATCAATAGAGTGATTTAATTTGGAAAAAAAGAATGTGCACTTCTGTTTGTTCAGCCCAACTTTACAGAAAATAAATCATCCTGCCTGAACTGATGTGAATCTGCTAGAATGTCACTCCAGGATGTACTGGCCTTTACGGAACTGTCAGGGTTTATAAGACCATGGAGCACCTCGCTAACAGTCTTTTCTTCACTGCAGTTGAATTCTGTGTCCCCCCAATACTTCTATTTTCTGCTGTTTGCTAGCCTTTCAGTAAGTACAAAATTTAGGCTGCT